CTAACCTTTTTTAAATGCCACCAACATGGCCACCATGTCTTTGTCTTCTGACTTGCTTGGAATCATTTGTAAACCATCAATATTCCAGTGTTATATTTCTGTCTCATGTAGTGATTCTTACCTTGTCATCAACAGTGCGTACATATTCCACATCAAGGGTTCGTGCGTGGTAGTTACAAATGTGAGTGTAGAGAGGGCTACTATTTCCCAGACGTCGAGGCCAAAGAAAGATTCTTCAAAGGCACAGACGTGGAAGGCGCATACGATGACTTCTTAGAGAGAAAGAATCAACAATACGACACAGGCTTCGAGTGCCTAAAATGCAGCGAGGGATGCCAGGAGTGTATTGATGCCARCCCTTGTACATACAGCAACAATCTTCTACTGAGAATATTTTTAGCTGTGGTAAATGGTTTTGTACTCTTGATGACAATAGGATTTGGTNCGTCCAGTCCACGATTCATTATCATCACTATCCTAGGTGTTATTATGATGTACATCAAGGTWTGCCATCATTAGTAGGCTAATGGATATGATCAACACTACACGAGTGCAATGACTTAGGGCTCTAGGGTATCCAATCCCAAGTTTATTCAAAATGGTTTCAAAATCATGCAGTTCCATYGTGGCTCTGCTTTTACCCCATGACTCCAATTAAAATTTTGCCGATTGTATTTCTCATTTTATGAGACCTAAATCTCACTCTTAGTAATATATATTAATCTTTTTTATCTTGCACATACACGTGAAGCCTTTTGTGGATCTGTCGAATCCCACCAACATCCTCTGTATCGTGGACCAGTGGTTACATCATCTGGGCTTTGCAGTTGCCAACAGCTCCATCATTATCAAGACATGGAGGTAAAATACGAACGAGTAATGACTCTGGGTCTTCTCTTTCATCTTCTTCTTATGGATACAACTCAAACAAATAATTTTCTCGAGAGAATGACATCTGAAATGAGAAAACATTGCGCCCAAGGTAAAGAGGTCTTTAGGACCCATACTTGATCAAGGATTGAAACGCACTATTAATGATAATTATGACTACAAAGGAATGGTCAATGCTTAGCGTAAGTATTTCCAGTTGCAGATGTATGCAGGAGGTTTTTTAGGCACGAAAGAAATTAAATGTAAGAGTCACACAAGGCAAAGCCGAGCCGAACATAGCTGTTCGTTACTTTGCAGATCGACTAACGCGCACGCGCAGAAAATGAGGTGAAAAAAATTCAAAATTTCCTTTAAAATTTCCTTCGAAAAAAGGTTTTCAATCCCCTGCGCGCGTATGCACGATCCATTGCTTGTTTATATAAGATTTTTCAAAATTTTATTTCTTTTCAAATCTCGATTTATCAGAGTAGCAGTGATATTCCGCGTTCGTTCTGCCCAGCGGATGGCGCTAACAGATGCGGTACTGTTGCGTCGTTTGTTGATCATCTTAATGGGTTACGTCATCTACATGCTATTTTGGACCAACATCAATCCACCTACGGTATCCCAGTGGAAGACCTCCGATGGTTTGATGTTTGATCGTTGCATTCTTAACGAGTGGTTGGAAGTCATCGCAATTGTGGGTAAGTAAATAAACCTAATCCACCGTTTTCCCAATTCAGACCACGTGTTCAGACCATTCCCTAGAGTATCGTTTCTTTGTTTAACGGTTGCACATGAGAAGACAGATGAATATGGATACAACTCAAACAAAGAATCTTATTCTCAAGGGAATGACACGTGGTCTGAAATGGGAAAAACATTACGCCCAAGTGGATTTCGTCTATTTAGTAGAACTGCAAGAAACCTACGTTATCGCTAACCACCACCTCAAGTACAGCAGTGGCGCAGCTCAATGGGATCGTACTGAAAGCATGTAAAGGCGCCTTTGGCAGCCGCTATACAGTCATGTCCCCAGCGCACAGCTCTAACTAGTTTGAATTAGTTATGGTTGACTTGAGAAGAGGGAGGAAAAACCGGAGGTCCGAAAAACCCCCCAAGTCAGAAAGAAAACCAACCAACTCAGAGATTAACCAAACAATGGTTATCGAACCTCGGAACCTCGGTCTACCACCACGCCTTCCTGACTCCCCTAAACTAACCTAACTGCTGTTAATAACTTTTAATCATAATATTTCTTGCAGGCGATCTTGGTCTGTTATCGTGGGGTATGTTGGTGTGTTATCGAGT